CTCTCTCTCTCTCTCTCTCTCTCTCTCTCTCTCTCTCTCTCTCTCTCTCTCTCTCTCTCTCTCTCTCTCTCTCTCTCTCTCTCTCTCTTCCCCGGACTCCCTCGAGCGTGTGTGTGCACGTGCTGCTTGCCTCTTTGGCAATGCCTGACTATGTTGTGCTGCTGAGACCACCCTCTCTCTTGGGCAAGAAGAGCGTTGGAAGGGCAGAAGGAGGATGAGTTCGACAGGATATGGTATGCATGAGGAAAGTGAGATGATGAGACGAGAAGCAAGGAGAAGCGGAGGACAGTCGTGGCCTTACGTGTTTGACGACGGGGCGATGGCGAAGGCGACGGCAGAGCGACTCGACGACAGGCATCAGGCTAGAGAACGCCACCGGCAATCACACAGCTTGCACGGCTGCAGTGACGCCACGGCGTACCGCCGTGCAAGATAGGAGAGGAGAAAACGGAAAGTCCGAACCAAATCGAAAAAACGGGAAAAAAAAAAGCGGGACCACAGAAAATGAGAAGGCTGCCGTTTCTCGATTTATGCGTCATCCTTGCGCAGGGGCCATTCTAATATTCCTCTGTATGGTTCAAATTTTAACGGCTGTCCCGAATGGCCGTCCCTCCCTTGGTTACGCCGCAGAAGCCGTAATAATTTGAGTTTAAGGGGTACCCAGCGGCCTGTCTCAGGTGGTAAGGACCTGGCACGCGATGACTTCTGGCCTACAGTGGCCTCGCCTCCTCAGAGCGACCACGGGTGACCGCTTCCGGCGATCAATGTGTGACTAGTAACTGGCCTATACAACACCCTGGACTTAAAAAAAAAAAAAAAAAAAAAGAACATGGCGAAGTCTGCCGCTCCTGGGGCTAGGTCCCACTTACACGAATTAAGCGATATTGACCGTAGATAGCAAAGATCAATGGCCAGAATCTCTTAATCCGTGCAAGTGGGACCTTGCCCCTGCAGAGACGAGGTTGTCAGACAGCCCTTCTTCGGAAATGTTTGGATCACCAATTCTCACAGCCATTTTTTTTGCAGCTCAGATCCTCCATGGAACGGATGGGTAAAGAATGGGTGATGAAGGTAGGGGACTTGTGGGACAAAGAGACCAAAGATTGGAAGAAGCCAGAGCAAATGAGGGAAAAGCTTTGGTACTGTCATAACATTGAGCTATGTTTAGAAGAAATCAGGGAAGCCCTCCCCTTGGGCTGGCTAACAGTCCTGCGTAAGGGCCCTAAGTGGCTAGAGGGGGACTGGGTGGCCCAAAAGGAGGCCCCGAACAGGGTCGGTCAGATACACCTGGTACGGCAAGACAATGTCCTGATTGAATGGTACACTATTGAGAGAAACGGGCGGTTAACAGCCAGCCGAAACCCCTTTGAATGGATCCAAAAGGAGCACATGCACAAAACCAGGACTCTGGTGGAATTGACGGACCAATGTGTGTTCAGGCCGGAAACCCCGCTGGGCGCCCTCCTGTTGGACCCACTGTAGCCGCGCGGGGCGCGGGGGCGCAGCCAGGGGGTAGGAGATTGTAGCGTTGGGGGCTGAGGGGATGACTATGCGAGGCAGCTTGTTCCACTACACAACAGATTACATGCATGTAGATGCTATTTCGACTAGGTGCATTTGGATGAGTCAAATACTCCGAATGTATCTGGTGTAGAGGGCATCTAAATGCATGTAGAGAGGCGTGTAGTGGAGGGAGGCCCTCTCTGGAGCTTGGGCTCGACAAACCCCTCCTCTCGTCGATCGTAGACAGAGGCCTCACAAGTCTTAGGTTGGTCTACGCTTTTCTCCTGTGGCGCTTCAACTTTTTTTTTAGTACAGACCCGTGTTCGAACCTGGATAGATAATGACACTTGTAAATAAAATTAAAAAAATAAAAACCAACCAAATACTTTGAATTGCCTGAGGCCAGTCAGATCAATGCCCTTCGGCCTCTTCGCTGCCCATTTTCAAGAAAAGGAAAAAAAAAAAGGGGGAAAAAAAAGAAGCACCATAGCCTCTGTGGTCTTAACGACCACAGAGGCTATGTGCATATGGACGAACAGGGTATAGGGTTTAAGGGATTCTGAAAGCGGCAGCCACATTACAGGGGCTGCTAAAGTAGGGTGGGCTGATAAACAAAGGGGCGCTCTGGGAGGGGAAGGGCACCACTAGCAGCCCGGTTTCTAAAAGGGGGATGACAGACACAGACACAACATCACTCAAAAAGGGGCTGCAAAAATAATGGCTGGGTTGATAGATAAGGGGTGCTCCAAAAAAGGGTAGGGGGACGCTAGCAGCCTCGCGGGAGGACGGAACCCCATGAATAGTCAACAATAACCTCGGCCCCCGAAAACAACAAAATTCAAGCTCTGTATGGAACAATGTAGCGATGGGACGCTGGAAAGGTGAGGGAAGGGAAGGGCTGGGAACTAATACTCTGGGATTGGGGAAGGCTGAAGTCACAGGTCATTAACTAGGAGATGGTCGGACTAGGGTGGCGAGATAGGTGAAGTAGGAGTGGAAGGGGACAGTAAGGGGGTTCAGGGAAGGGGGGATTGGGGATCTATCTACGCTAGCCTATGCAGGGGGGGTTCTAATTCTACTATTGATCTTGAGAATAAACAGGCCTAAAACGGCCTGATGTCGGCCCAAAGCGGCCGGCTGGACCACCGGTCCGGGAGTTCCTGTTGGCTCTGACGCTTGTTTGTCCCTTTGGCCTACTGCGACCGTAACTGACCGAGTACCCTGGTAAGGAATGACGAAAGAAGGGAGGGTGGCGGAGGGGAGGTGTGGGAGAGGAGATAAGAGAGGGGACAGGATTAGAAGAGTAAGCAGAGGGTGAGATTTAATAACTAATTTTGGGGGTCTGTTGTTGTTATTGTTAGGCACTTTTTTTTTTTTTTTTTTTTTTTTTTTTTTTTTTTTTTTTCTCAACTTCTGTTTTTTTTTCCTTCCATTACCTACTCCTAAGACTATCTAGAGGGGACCCCTGCAAGCATAGTTT